ACCGGAGTTGGCAAGCCACCCTTTTCCGGTCGAGAACCATGGTCTCAGATTTGAAGGTGCTGATCCTCATCCCAGCCGCTTCACATTCGGCCATGAACCTACCCAGCAAAAGCTGAAGGTCAGAGCTGGATGAAGCTAGGAGGACCACATCATCCGCAAAATGCAGAGACGATATTCTCCTGCCACCAAACTCGACACACTCCACACCACGGCTGCTCCTAGAAATTCTGTCCATAAAGGTAATGAACAGAGCCGGTGACAAAGGGCAGCATGGCGGAGTCCAACCCTCACCGGGAACAGGTCCGACTTACTACCGGCTATGCGGACCAAACTCACGCTCCTCTGGTAAAAGGACTGAATGGCCCTCAACAGAAAGCCACCCACCCCATACTCCTGGAGCGTCCCCCACAGGGTGCCCCTGGGGACATGATCATAAGCCTTCTCCAAATCCACAAAGCACATGTGGATTGGTTGGGCAAACTCCCATGCCCCCTCCATCACCCTTGCAAGGGTATAGAGCTGGTCCACAGTTCCACGGCCAGGACAAAAACCACATTGCTCCTCCTCAATCTGAGATTCAGCAATCGATCGGACCCTCCTCTCCAGTACCTTGGAGTAGACCTTTCCAGGGAGGCTGATGAGTGTAATTCCCCTATAGTTGGAACACACTCTCAGATCACCCTTGTTAAAGATGGGGACCACCACCCCAGTCTTCCACTCCACAGGAAATGCCCCCGATGACCACGCAATGTTGCAGAGACGTGTAAACCACGACAGCCCTACAACATCCATAGCCTTGAGATACCCAGGACGAACCTCATCCGCCCCCGGGGCTCCGCCGCTGTGTAGTTGTTTGACTACCTCAGCAACTTCTGCCCCAGAGATTGGACAGTCCATCCCAAGGTCTGGCTCCTCCTTGGAATGCGCGTAGGTGGGATTGAGGAGCTCCTCAAAGTATTCCTTCCACCGTCCGACTATAGCCCCAGTTGACGTCATCAGCTCCCCATCCCCACTGTAAAACGTGTGAGCGAGTTGCTGCCTTCCTCTCCTGAGGCGCCGGACAGTTTGCCAGAACCTCTTTGGAGCCGATCGATATTCTTTCTCCATGGCCTCACCAAACTCCTCCCACGCCCGAGATTTTGCCTTGGCAACTGCCACTGCTGCACCCCGCTTGGCTATCCGGTACCTGTCTGCTGCCTCCAGAGACCCACAGACCAGCCACGCTCTGTAGGCTTCCTTCTTCAGCCTAGCAGCTCCCCGAACCTCTGGTGTCCACCAGCGGGTACAGGGGTTGCCACCACGACTGGCACCGGCCACCTTGCGACCACAGCTAGCAACAGCCGCCTCAACAATTGCAGAGTGGAACAAGGCCCACTCGGAGTCAATGTCCCCCACTGCTCTCGGGACGCGGTCAAAGCTCTGCTGGAGGTGAGAGTTGAAGACCGTCTTAACAGGTTCTTCTGCCAAGCGTTCCCAGCAGACCCTCACTATGCGTTTGGGTCTGCCAGGTCTACGTAGCATCTTCCCCTGCCATCTGATCCAACTCACCACCAGGTGGTGATCAGTTGACAGCTCCGCTCCTCTCTTCATTCAGGTGTCCAAAACGTACGGCCGCAGGTCAGATGATATGACTACAAAGTCTATCATCGACCTGCGACCTAGGCTGCCCTGGTACCAAGTGTACCGATGGGCATCCTTATGTTCGAACATGGTGTTCGTTATGGCCAAACTGCGGCTTGCACAGAAGTCCAATAACGAAACACCACTCGAGTTCAGATCAGGCGGGCCGTTCCTCCCAATCACACCCCTCCAGGTCATGCTGTCATTGCCCACGTGAGCAAGGCCGGATTAACCATATGGGCAACTGGGCAATTGCCCAGGGCCCACGAACTCTAAAGGGCTCAGGGCAGCAAGGGCACGAGCAAAATACTGTAGGCCTATCTGTAATCTCCCGCTTTATATTAAACTAGGGTGACCGTACGTCCTGTTTCCCCCGGACATGTCCACTTTTCACTCTCTGTCCTGGCGTCTGGACTGGGGGTTCTTGTATTGATGAAAATGTCCAGCTTTTCATCCAGGAGCAGGGATCGAATTATGGGGGAGTTGGATATCCTACACATCCAAAGAGCCAGAAAAAAAGTTTTCTACCTATATTACATCATTTATGGACTCTTTTGAGCAGAGAGCACAGAGAGCGGCACAGCGCGTTGTTGCGCAGCGCTCCAGACTGCTGCTTCCAGCGCACGGTCCAGTCTCAAAGTGGCACAACCAAAAAACTATAATTAGCACACAATCGTTCATGTCCGCACATGTTCTCTACTTTCTGTCTTATTTGTGCCTGAAGCGCTCTGCTACTGCGGAGCTCATCACCTGCGCTGCGGTGATTTCACCTCACTGACGCAGCATCGAAAACGCGCTCTCCGCTTTGCGGTCAGGAGATCCCTTTGATCTGCTCAAAAGTAACTGATGAGGTGAAAAAGTAAGAATCCAGGCAGCAGATTTTCTGGAGAGTTTAGAGGAGATGCAGGAAGATGAGAGACAAAGAGGACAGGAAAATAGTTAAATAAAAACAAGAAAACAAAACAAAGTGTTGAAAAGTAAAATGTAGGTAGATTTATCTCCACTACACGTTTTTACCTGTATAAAACAATAAGTTATACACGTGTAATATTTATACATCTGATACAATTCAGGTCACCTTCAAAACTCTGTCACACACCCAGGGCCGTTTCAAGACATTTTGGGGGCCAAGGCAAAATGACCCAACCCCCCCAACCCCCCCCCCCCCCAATAACTGGGCTCCCCAGAAGCCTCTGTGTAATCCATACCATCTCCAGTAGTGTTAGTTATACAGTGTTTATAAAAGCTCCTCAGACATCACTGACATGTTCTAATATTATCAGATGAAAAACTAAATCGTCACACATGCTGTCTCATCAGCTGCTTTTCTAAGCTTGCAAAAAGTAACAAAACCATTAGAAAGCCACTATTTGTGGATTCTCTGAAAGTTTCCATGGAGTGTGTGACAACTTAATTTTTTCATTGATCCTATCGTCTAATCTCACAGCTGAAACAAGCATCCTTAATAATCTGTGCACAGGAAGCTTACCGATGCTGTAGTAAAACAAAAGGTATAATAATTTCTTATTAATAAAACCTTGTTACAGCACTAAAGCAGAAAAATGAGATTTTGCAATAAATATGCTAAACATTTACATATGAATTGTTTTGGAGCCCTTTTATTGGCAAAATCTGATATTAATTTAGTTCTTACAAAAAATGGGTCCCAACGTGGTTTGTGTGGCGTTGCCATAGTGTGACGTCATCGGCACAGATCCCCTGTCCTCTTTTTTGGAAATGGAAATATGGTCACCCTACATTAATTAAACTGTCCACCCGAGCTTTTGCGCTGCACAGAGACGCTTCGCTGCCTATGACTGAACGTCAGTTGAGAGTCAGTCTCATGCAGACTGACCAATGAAGAGAGGGCCTCAAGTTAAGACCCTCTCCTCATTGGTCAGTCTACACGAGGTGGGTCAAAGGTTACTCTGGGCGGGTTACGTGATGTCAGGCATTCAAGTATTGAGTATATTTACTGCATATTACAGTAAAATATTCTGTATGTGACCATATTATGGTGATCCTTGGGTCGTGATGATGGGGCCCTTTAATATTGTTGCCCAGGGTACAACTAAGTGTTAATCTGGCCCTGCACATGATCATTGAAGTCCCCCAGCAGGACAATGGAGTCCCCTGATGCAGCACTATCTAGCACTCGTCCCAGGGACTCCAAAAAGGGTGGGTACTCTGAACTGATATTTGGCCCATAAGCACAAACAACAGTCGGGACCCGTTCCCCGACCCGAAGGCGCAGGGAAGCTACCCTCTCGTCCCCCGGGGTAAACTCCAACACACATGCAGAGAGTCTTGGGGCTAACAAAAAGCCAACCCCAGCCCTCCGCCTCTCACCCGGAGCAATTCCAGCAAAGGAGAGTGTCCAACCCCTCTCAAGGACTTGGGTTCCAGAGCCAATGCTATGTGTCGAGATGAGTCCAACTATATCTAGCCGGTACCGCTCAACCTCTGCCACAAGCTCCTGCTCCTTCCCCGCCAGCGAGGTGACGTTCCATGTCCCAAAAACCAGTTTTCTTGTCCGGGGATCAGACCGCCAAGGCTCCCGCCTTGGTCTGCCACCCGATCCACATTGCACCGGTCCCTTCATGTTCCTCCTGCGGGTGGTGGGTCCACAGTTGGATGAGCCCATGTATCCGGTTCGGGCTGGGCCCGGCCGGGCCCCATGGGCGAAAGCCCGGCCACCAGGCGCTCGCTCACGGGCCCCAACCCTAGGCCTGGCTCCAGGGTGGAACCCCGGTAACCCTCCGGGCCGGGTTCTCCAACTCTTTGTTTTAACGTCCATGAAAGATCCTGTGCTCCTGTGATGTGTTTTTATTTCATTAAACTGTGTTTACATAATGCTTTTACAAAAAATCCCCACAAATGTTGATATTTGCGTTTGTAAGAAAATTAAAAGTTAAGCTGCTTAATTTTGTTTAGGGCAACTTTTGCCTGTTGCCAAATATTAAAAAGATAATACAAGATAGTTCACTGCTAAGGACATCACCTATGGTTTTTTATTTCCAAAACACGGTAAACTATAAAATTCAAATCTTATTTAAGCTATTATCGGGTAGGTAAATGATTCAGTTTACTTAATGAAAGGTGATTGGAGACGTTTGCTTTAATTAGACAAAAACAAATAGGTAACGTAATGTAGCACAACACCGCTAATGTCACAGACTTAACGCAAGGGGGCGACAGTTTCCCTAAAAGCATCAAAATGCATTCTTTCCAACTCAACAATGTAACTGTGAACACAATAAAAAGCACATTAACTAAATATATCCTGTGATTTTATATTAAATACATGTTTTATAATATTTTATAAAAACTCGATCACTGAACTGGTGTATTTTAGTTCAGAACTTGGAGCCAACACAGGGTTCTTATTTTATATTTATTTTACACTTGCCCTCATTTCAGGTACACACAAAACAGCACATTTACTTAAATCTCATACAATGCAACAAAAAGTTTGAAAGCAAAATTCATAAAATTGAAATCTGAGATAAAACCAAAACATGTTAGTACGTCATAATAATGTTAATCTCTTTCAAGCATTAAAAAAGTAAACAGCAAGCTGAACAAGACCACAAAGTAAATATTGTGTTTTTTAAACGATGCACAGCTGATGAATTGAATCCCAGACCTCAGTGGATCTCCAATTATTCCATTCATAATATTTGGCTTCAACACTCAGAGGCTGAGTCTCAATACTGATGGGAAAGCTGCATATCAGAAAGGGCCGTATTACAACTAATAAACGTGCAAGAACAATGCTCACTTTCCAATAAAGTTTCACCTGACAGAAAAATGACAGCTGATTTATAGGATAATCACAACAGCTCCTCTAAATGATTATCTCTATCAAAATAAGACTCTAATCGTGTCAAAATGAAGAAGTGCTTTTTTTCTTAAAAGTGTTTTTTAATCCAAGTGTCGTCGCTGAGGAACAACATCAGGTCACCATCTGAGATACGACTTGTAAACACGTTAAACTTTCTGGGAGATGTTCTGGCACATTTCATGTTGCATGGCAGCAAAAACAGCAAACAAAACAGACTTTTAGAAAGGCACGAAAAAGAGAATTAGGTCCATTTCTGCTCCTTTCTGCTGCGTTAATAATAAAAGTGAATGAGGAGACTGAGGTCCGTCCCTGAAACACTATAAATATGAGATCACAGCCAGTGGTGGTGGGGGGGTCAGTTGAGCAGCTCCAGGTAGGTGATCGGCACTTTGCCCTTCTGGTTTCCTCGCTCCCCCATCAGCCAGTCTGAATCCATACCTGGAACGCTGCTGACCGTGATCACCTGAGAGGACAGGAAGTGACCGGGTTTAGAGCAGCTTTACTCAGAAAACACCAACTCATGGTTGTTTTTCTCCAAAGTTACAGTTTTGCTACTTTTATGAACATTTTTACAGGTGAAAGAAAATTAAAGGTTCATTTTCCTCAATTTAAATTCAGCGCTGAAGTTTCTGTCAGCAGATCCACCTGGACCGTCTCAGGTCTCACTAGTGAGGTTAGTGCCATTTATTTTAGTGTGTGTGTGTGTGTGTGTGTGTGTGTGTGTGTGTGTGTGTGTGTGACGATTATGTCACAGCCACAGAGCTGACAGGAACAGGAAGAGAAAACGTTCCACTGAGCAGAGGAACTTCAGCAGCTGGTATAAAAAAAACAAGATGAACGGATGAGAAAATAAAAACTTTTCACTCAGAACAGAAATTCTGTTTAATCTTTTATATATAAATAAAGATGAAAATAAACAAGATGAAAGATTTGGACAAAAGAACTGATGCTAATATTGTTTATTAATGCTCGGTGGAGGGGGGGTTAACGTTTTGGGTCACCTCATCAGCCAGCAGGGAGAGCTCGCTGCTGCTGGCAGCGTCGTAGTCGTACAGAACTCGAGCTTTGCGGATGCCGTTGGAGCTACGCAGCTCGTTGAAGCCTCCTGACGCGGCGGCGCTGGGACGACCCGCGGACACGCTGGGCAGCGAGGCGGACACCGGTATGGTGGGCACAGAGACGCCGGCCCCGCCTGGCATGGAGGACTGGTTGTTGTTGCAGAACGATGAGGGGAAACTGTCAGGAGGAAGAGAGAACAGGAAACCACCATGAAGCTCTGGTGCTCATATGGACGTGTGAATCTGACGTGACCCCACATGACCTCAGAGTAGTTCTGATCAGACACCAGGAAGACTCAAAAACATCAGCTGGTCCTGAAGCTCCAGCGATGCCCATAAACCGCTCATTCTATCTAATAAAACCTGAGGGGTGCACACCTGCCCAGCTGCTTCTGCAGGTCCACCATGTACTGGTAACACTGGGCGTAGTAGGTGGTCTGGGCCTCCACAAAGTCATTCAGACAGCGAAGGTGGTGCGCCTGTAGATCCGTCAGAGAGCAGGAATCAGATCATTCAGCCTCCTGTTAGACAGGACTAGTCACATGATGGTGTAACTGGTCACATGATGGCGTTACATACGTGGGTGCTGCTGACGCCCTCCAGCAGCAGACGGGTGATCTCTGCCTGTCGGTCAAACTCACTCTGGGTCATCCTCAGCTCCTGCTCTGCCTGAGAGTTTAGAAATAAACTTTATTAGGTTTGTTCAGAAGGACAAAGACAGCCTCCATCTGTTTATGAATCTAATTAAGATTCACTTTCTCTAGATGAGTCAAAACAACAGGATGGCTGTGATGAGCAGGAAGAGACAGGAGGGGACAGCGAGGTCTAAAGCCGGAACGCCACTGGGATGAGACTGAGACGGATCACGTCTCCTGGTGTCTCCAGTCATCTGTAGGGTCAGTCTCCTGCTGTTGCTGGGACATCACGGCCCAGTGAGGTTCCAGCTTTCAGAGCAGCAGATGGATGAATGGATGATTTTAGGAACCATAAAGAGTCTCTGTAATCCAGACTCTTCAGGCGTTGCTTAAACACCCTAAAGCATCTTTAATATCCAACAGTAGCAAAGACCTTTACTGTTGGATTAGATGTGAAGTTCTGGCGTTAAAGATGGGAGGAAAAACAGAAACATGAAGATTTGGTTTTCAGGAGGGATCCCCAACCCTTTAAAAGGATTTGGTATCAAAGCTGAAAACTCTTAGAGACGAGATCATTAGACGAGAGGACGGCGGCCGTACCAGTCCTCAACACTGTTTACATTTAAAAAGAGAAGCAGCAGAGGAACCTGTGAGGACTTTTGGTTCCTGTCGGGGTCGTTCACAATGAGTTTTTTATGAAATATGATGTTCGTCATGGAAGAGACGGAGACAGAGCAGCTGTGTGTGTGTGTGTGTGTGTTCTCAAATCAAACATGACTCCAACATTCCACTCACCTCTGTCATTTCCTCTGCTCACATCTGCAGCTTTGCATTTTAAAAACAGTGACAGTAGTTAGAGCTCCAGCTGCTCACTACGTGTGTGTGTGTATGTGTGTGTGTGCATGCTTTAAGACACACTCTGGAAATATCCGGACTCTGGGATACCCAAGAGGTCTCCCCATCATCCCACTAAACCACCGTGTTTCTGCATCTTCAGAGATGATGTCATCATGACTGCGGTGTTAACCTCCGGACTAACAACCACATCTTTTGGTGTCACTTTGCCTCACATGACCTAACGTTTAATCATTCATAAATCTGGAGGTTTAAGGCAATTTACAGTTTATGCAAACAAAGGCTAAAAAACAACATTTGGCCTTTAATGAAACAAAAACATCCAAGCGTCTCAGTCCTGGTTTCTCCTGACAGCGTTAGATACAGCACCGCTGGAACCAGGAGACATTTAAGGGAAACCTCAGGACTAATAATCCACAACAACACCTGGCGTATGACAGATGTTTACTGACCAAAGCTAACAGAGTCTTAGGGCAACGCAAACCAAACCTGAACTGTCTAAAGGACACGAATGAAGACAAGCTGCTCATGACAGGGAGACACCAACTGTCCAACAAATAAGGAACTTCTCACCAGAGAGAAAATACACCGATTGTGCAAGCCAGCGCGCGTCGTGACTCTGACATGCTACAGCTAAGCTATAGGTAGGCTACACATGTTTCTGAAAGCTCGACTCTGCTGGTTGAAAACACAGCTGTAGAATTAAAAAAGACGTGTGTGTGTGTGTGTGTGTGTGTGAGGACTCACTGCAGCTCTGGCATCAGGCATCCGGGCTTTCTTTAACCTGGTTTTAGCTGCATCCAGATCCAGACGTTTGACCTGCAGCAGCTTTCTCTCTTTCTGGACACAAAATAATCAGAATCCAACATTTTACATAAAGATTATTATTATATATGAAACATCTGTGTTTCTAAATAGAAAAAGCATGAAGAGATTTTACAGATATTCTCTTCTACCTCTTTAATCCGTCTCTCTTCCAGCTCCATCTCTAAACATTGATTATAATTCTACATTTATGAAATAAGTAAAACAGTTTAAACTGTTTCTGAACTCTGGTGTTTTGGGTCTCATCTGCACACGTTAGCGTCGTGGATCAGCTCTGGATTAACCAGCTCACCAGGATGGTTTTGAAGTCGCCCTCTAGAAAGTTTCTGAAAGGCGTGAGGAAGTTGAGGGCAGAACTCTGGATGAACTCCCGCTCAGCTCCACCGATCTGCTTCTGCGTCTCGCCACATTTTATCAGAGCGTTTCCTGTAAGAGTCCGCAGCAGAGACAGGAGCTCACCAACATGTGTCCAAACCCAGGACTCGACCTGGAGCTCCGTTACGGTAACTGTGGTCATCGGACACAGAGACTGAGTCATTAGCCTGGAATAACTGGTCTGGGGCGGATGTTGCTGTGCTCTCCAAACGTCTCAATGAGCCGTTATGAAGTTATTAAGCTCAGCAGGCTAAGACAAAGAAGTTGCTGGTTGCTAGGCAACAGAAGAAATTTCACAAACCTGGCTGAAACCCTTTGTTTCCTTCATCCTGTCACATCAGGTTTATGCAAGGTTTCCCACTGGAGACGGGTACTGGGAATTACTGGTTTCTCTGTTTAAAGCAGCTTTAGGAAGCTTCGCCTCATGAACTGGAAGTGTGTTTGTGTAAATAAACCTTAATACTCCTGAGAACGTCCACAGTTACACAGAATAAACCCCATAAACTTTACCAACCACTAAAAGATACAAAAACTGTCATCAAACTGCTCACAAATAGCCTCCTGAACTGGCTCTTTTAGGAGAAAGAGTTTAAAATCCACAGGACTGATGAGCTAACGGCTAGTGAAGTTAAGACAATGGCGTTTTCTATCCCCTTAATCAGCTCAAATCGCCTGAATTACACAGCAGTTCATGCAAATGTGATTATATAAATTTCTATGCTGTGGTTATTTATATGGACGATTGTTAAGGGGCGTGAGGGGGCCGATTCCAGGAGAAGTTTCTAAACATTTCTACTGAAGAAAACTATGAAACACAAAAATGGTGGGGATGGTTTATGAGGATGGAGAGGTTTTTAATCAGCAATTGACTTTAAGCATCTTTTACTTGAACTAGCTGTTAGCTCATCGCTCCTGTAGGATGTTTATATTATTTCTCCAAACAGAGGCTGTTCAGCAAGTTAGTAATTATTTTTTAAATGTTCCACAGCATAATTTAAAAATAGCTTAAATGTCCCTTTGATGTTGATTGAAATTAAAACAGATGAGTATTTTTCTTTAGATATACAGTTTTTTTTAATTCAGACTTCAGAGTGGTCACCTTAAAAGCTGCCATCAGTGGATCAGTCTCCAAGGTAACACTCACCATAAGCAGCTCCAGGCCCAAAATCATTTCCAGAGTCAATCAGAGTCTGGCCCAGCAGCTCGTGGTTGTTCATTCGTGTCGGGACCTTCTTCTCCAGCTTCTCATACAGAAACTCTTCCAGTCGGACATCTAGAGATCACAACAGGATAAATTAATTATAAAGTCATAAGACAACCATGAGGGAGCCACTTACAATGTTCCCGGGACTGTCATCCTGGATGGCTTTACTAAAATCAGTCACAGCTGGTTTGTTTAGAGCTGCAACCTCACATGAAAGAGGATTAACAATCACAGTCAGATTATCTGATCTGTGGTATGTTTAACGTTAAACAGAAACCAGACTCCCTGTCAGAAACGTGCACAGATGGCCTGTGTTTTTTTGGGGCTGTAGTGATATGGCATCACGGTGTGAGCTGTGGTGGACGCACAGCTGAGCTCACACACCTCCCCATGACATGCTGGGGTGTGTTTTAGTGTGTGTGTGCAGCTCCTAATCTGCAGCCATCTCTGGGTCAGAATCAAGGGGTTCTTACTCGGGTTGGGCTGCAGTAAGACCTCAGTCTGCTTCATTATCTTCTCCGTCCATGCTTTGGTGTTTTCAGCTCTGACCAACAGGTTCTCCAGGTGGGCATCCAGCTCCGTCTTCTCAGCTTGGCCGAGTTTCTCTTCTGTAAACTGACAAAACAAACACGTTTTTATTTGTCTGAACGGACAACTACTCAGAAAACTGAAATGTCAGTAAAGGCGTCATGATGCTAGCTGGTTAGCCACAGCTGGTCACACAGGTTCATGGCAGCTTTCTGAGGCCTGTGGTGTTGCTTCTCCTGCTAAAAAGCGGGCATTAGTTGTTGGTTAGAAACACAAAGCAGTGTAACAACAGCTAATGTAGCGGAATTAGCCTGAGGAGATAACAGGCTGCTCAGCTAACCCAACCGGTTTACAGCAGCGCTAACACTTGCTAGCCCAGTGAAGCTTCAGCTAAAGTTAGTTAGCAACATCACAACAGTTTAACTTACTTGTACCGCGCGGCTCAGGAAAGTACCGGCGTCTGCGGCTAACCGCTTTACATTAAAGTCCATGGCGTAGTGATGAGAATACACCCTAAAACAACAACTATCCTGTCTCCCTCTCAAACTGCCATTCCTACGGAAAATGTAACAGAAGCGTCTACTCTTCTTTTTGGTCAGAGTTCCACCCAGCTGTTGGTCCAGACAAAGATAGTACACGTTCAAGATAGTTCCTGGCGTCGCCCCACTCTGACAGCTGTCTGCGCATGCGTAGAGCAAAAAGACGCGAATGTGAAGGAAAAAATCGAGACGAGCAAATTTAAATGTAAAAAAGCACAAAAATGTAAGAAAATGCTTTATATAAAAATAACCCACATAAAAATTACCATAATTACATTTAATGAAAAACAGATAAAGTATCACACTGTCACTCGTACAAACAACGTACGATAAATTTCTTGCTTAGCCTGAGTTCTTCACGCTGGTTGCGTTTACGTGACACGGAAATATCAGTGTCACATTTTAAAGAGATTTAGTGAATTCATATCTATCTATCTATCTATCTATCTATCTATCTATCTATCTATCTATCTATCTATCTATCTATCTATCTATCTATCTATCTATCTATCTATCTATCTATCTATCTATCTATCTATCTATCTATCTATCTATCTATCTATCTATCTATCTATCTATCTATCTATCTATCTATCTATCCATCCATCCATCCATCCATCCATCCATCCATCCATCCATCCATCCATCTATTATCTATCTATCTATCTATCTATCTATCTATCTATCTATCTATCTATCTATCTATCTATCTATCTATCTATCTATCTATCTATCTATCTATCTATCTATCTATCTATCTATCTATCTATCTATCTATCTATCTCTCTCTCTCTCTCTCTCTCTCTCTCTCTCTCTCTCTCTCTCTCTCTCTCTCTCTCTCTCTCTCTCTCTCTATCCATCCATCCATCCATCCATCCATCCATCCATCCATCCATCCATCCATCCATCTATCTATCTATCTATCTATCTATCTATCTATCTATCTATCTATCTATCTATCTATCTATCTATCTATCTATCTATCTATCTATCTATCTATCTATCTATCTATCTATCTATCTATCTATCTATAGATAGATAGGTATACATACATAATTTTGTAATACACATTTAGCTCTAAGGAAGTTGAAATAATAAAATGTAATTTATCATGAGTGTTGCACAAGTTGAGGTCCATATGTAAATTTAACTCTTCACAAATGCACTTTACAATTTTTATTACTATATTGGTTAATCACTGTCTAACGGCATTGATGTTAATGGTTTTTTATACATTAATATATATAATCGTTCTCCACAGAACTAAATATATTTCATATATTTAAAAAAATGTTCTAGTGACACATTGAACAGCAGCATGAGGATGATGGTTCTCTAATTTCCCTCTTTGAATTGAATTTGAATTCATCTCTCACCATCAGTTCTCTCTTTTCATGTATCTACAGCACTCTTGGTTGGACTCTGCTGTTATCCCCTTAAATAAATACCTTTGTGCCCGTATGCACAACACTAATGCTGTTTGAGTGTGATCTGCAGTTACATGCTCAACACAGAACTTTGGAGAGAAGTTGCAAGAATTTAGTGAAAGCTGGCTAAACAAAACCACTCTTTGGGTTCGTTGAGTGGGAGGGGGTCAGGCAGAAGGAAAAATCTCTCCTGTTGATTTCCGACTCTGTCAGCAGCCTTTTCCCTCCGCTCAACTTCTTCTTGGAGAGCCATTTTTCCATGCTGAGTTAAAACTAAAATCACATATGTTTTTTCCCCTCTTAAGCTGTCTTAGCTCCACTCTAACTCAAATTTACATTAAGAAATGCATTTACTGTTTAGTTTAAATATTAAGTTTCTGCACAGCCAGCAGGTTCTATGAGTAGCCCTCACGCTACAGTTTGATAACTGAGCTTTGTCAAATATAAATAAATGCTCTGGCGAGGCCTCCTGCTTGGCTAACATTCAGAACCATCGGGTTGGAGGCTTTAAATGTGTGAAAATAGGAGTCAGCACTTTAAAAAGTCTTTGGGTGAGCAGTAGGTAGAATCTGTGCTTGTTCCATCTCTGTCTGCTGTTTCACTTCACTTCACAATATTAAAAACTCTCCAGGGGAATAAAGAATCAGGCGTCTGGTGTCAGCAGGATGACTTTGGCATCAGTGAAGAAAACCAAACGAAACAGACACAAATGTTTTTAATTTGAAAATCAAATGGGATTAATTTCATTTTCTCACATAATCACATTTTGACATAGCAAGGAAATTCAAGTTTCACTCAGACTTTAGAATGTAACTGTCATGGGCTGCTGTGTCAAACTTATCTATGTTTCACAAACACTTGATAGCATCTAGAGTTTAGTTTAATCCGAATTACAGCTGCTGAGTTCTTTGGTCACATTTGCAGCCAGCTCCAACAGCAGAGGGTATCTGAGAGTCTTGTTCCTCCATGGTTCTGGGATTCCCTGGAGACCGCTCTGGAAACAGAGAGCTTAGAATAAATAAACTCATGGTTAAACTTTTACCAGAACACTGATACATCTTTGCATATTATAACTTCTATTTGGTTAACTCCAACGAATTATTCTTGAAACAACGTCTCACAGAATGTAAAATATGTATTTTCATATTTTTATTTTACTGTGTTGTTATTGATGTCTGTTGTCCCTCAGGATTGCTGCAGGAGGACACAGGTATTTATGAGAGTGGTGGAGGAAAACAAAATAAAGTAAATACATGTTTTGTGATCAGTATAATTTGACATAACCACGGCAAACATGCTTTCTCGACAATCCTTGTTATTGTGTGAGAAAAAAAGTGTAGGAATTAAAACGGACGTGTGCTAATAGGGAAACAGCTGGCGAGCCATGTTGACGCATGTTTGCGCATGCGCCGTGAGCGGTTCTGGTGCTGTTTGGGCCGCAGCCACTCGAAAATGGGCTCAGGTTGTATACTTATTTTTTGCACAGGCATTTGTTTACTGTGAAGTAAAGTTGAAGTGCTGAAGTTTTGAAAACTAATTTTGAATAAAACTTGAAGAATAACTGGCAATTGCTTGCTCACTTTAAGAGGTCTTTCATATTTTGTAACATGCAATTTGATGTGATGGTTTACAAACACAAAAGGGTAATTTATTAGAGTACCCGATTAATCGATAAAAGATTCAATAGAGTACTCGATTACAAAAATATTCGATAGCTGCAGCCCTAGTCTCTACCTGCTTTACAGTGATTTCGGTTTACTGTGCCGGTAGCTCACATATTTTGCGTTTTCGTTGGCAGAGCCTGGGCGTTAAAGTAAGAGAGTAATGCCTTTGGAGGCGAAGCAAAGAGCTAAAACCAGAGGGAACATTGGCACGCCTACACTCGTTTGAGGGAGCTTACTGGAGGCCACATAATCACAAACTGATGGTGACCTGTCTTTGTTGCTGCTGGACTTGTAAGTAATAATATTTTTGTTCAACAGTGTGGATCTGTTTCCTTTGTGGCTCTTTTTAGTAACAGTTGACTAGTGTTAATGCTAGTTTGTTATTAGTGCTACGCTAGCTACAATAGGCTGCAGCAAGGTTGTTTGCGACAGATGTGCCTCTGCTTTCAACCAGTAGGAGGAAGAAGCAGAAAACTTCTTTGAAGTGGCTTTAAATGATTTTCACCTGTTGATCAGGATCAGTAATTGACAGCCATGTTGCTACTGTACCTGTGCCCCTAAACAGGCGCCTATGAAGGAGGCTCGGCTGGCGGTGCACCCCCCGCAGCGCATGGTGTCCCTCACAGCCTCGTCCAGCTGGTTGTGAGTCAGGACTCCATGAAGCGCTCCTTGGAATGCACCTGGCAAAGCTGGACACAAACAATGATTTAATCCACTCTGGAAAAATCCAGTCAAAGAAACCATCATGATCCCCTAAAACAACGTAAGGCGCTCTACTTTTAAAATGTCATTAGTGGGATCTTAAGCAGAAAGGGAGGAAGGATTCGTTACAGCGTAATAGCTTTTTTAAAATCAGAGACAGTCAGCTCAGCAGGAAGGGCAAGATGAAAAAGAAGGGAAGAAGGAGACCATTAAAGATCAAAAGGAGCGAGTAACGGATATAGTGTCGGGAAGGGTGTGCAGGCAATGCCAAGTCAACAGACCTGAGTCCTGCTGCTACATACCAGCTTACCTCATGTGTTAGTGAACACAGCAGGTATGAGCTGATGGGATGCTTTGGATAAGTTGTCCTTCACCTGGTGGATTTGTGCTTTGGATGAGACACACAGGAAAAGGAGGAATTCAAAATAAAAGTGTGAAAACATCTCAGGCAGAAGATGAATCTCTTTATCGTGAGCTATTTTCAGACCTATTCTCTGTTCTAGTTAACAGAAATCTGAAGAGACTAGAAGTTTCTGCTGCACACTGATAAACATCAGGACATAAACCCACATGAAGCACTAATAGCTGCGGGCCTTTTCATTACTGTTGTCTCAGCTCGCCGAAATTAAACTGGAGAGGCGTCCTGATTGTAAAACGGTTACGGCTCATTCAACAGTAATGTTCATGGTTCTGATTCAGATGGCCTTCCGCTTTTCCTGTCTGTCCCACTACATAGTGTAAAAAAGGACATTTCATCTAATAAATGCCCCAAATCGTTTGTTTAATGCATCGTAGAAATCACGTTGGATGGTGGTAAACACAAGCACAGATTTAAAAATGATAATAATTTCTAAAAACCGAGTTATTCAGCAAGTGAAATATGTAGATGGAAGCAGAAATATGGAGTTTTCTCTCACAGGGAACCATCTAGAGGGGAAAATTAGTCATTACACACCTTCAAAGCAAACGTCTAGCAAGACAACACAGCTAAAACATTATTATTCATGTGTCATGCTGTTTGTTCATATATTCATATTTTTAAGACTTGTCTACAAAAAACGTTGCCAACTCTACATCGGTTTAGGCACGTCAGTCACGCTTGGTGAATGACATCTGTACGTAAGCGGACGCTATTGGCTAATGCTGAGCTGCACATAATTCAGCTACTTGGGGCTCTAAGTACTGTTTGTGTCACAGTAAAAAGTAAGACTGTTACCTTTACTGATGTCTAAAAATGGCTGCTTTAACCACAACATATTAACATCCTTTACAGCTTGCCTAGGACACTTTTCTTTATCATTTTCTGGTGCGTCAATAAAACATTGGTGAATATTTTAATAATACTAATGTGTACAGGTACTTCCTTGTTAACGGTTGCTAACTCACGACTGAAACCACATGCACCTCAATAGTTTGTGAAGTTTTAAATGGGATGATCAGCAGTTGGTAATCTAAGAACAGTTGAAGACATAAAAGTGTTTTTTTATCTGTTCTAAAGATATTTTAGCTACTGAAATGTTCTACCAAAGGAAAATGATAGTTATTAATAAAAGCTTACCCGTGACAGCCCTGTCCAGATCCTGTGGGTTCTGTCTCTTTGGGTCATTCAGCTGGTTGAGAACTGTTTCCAGAACATCTGGATCAGGACCATTCAGAATGAAGTGTTCAAGAAACCTGATTTCACAAACAGACCAATCAAAAACAAACCCTCTCTCAGTAATGGCCTCCACATGAGCGACCTGTCACCTTGCTGCGGCCATAGTAACGGCCACACACATGTCGTTGTTCTGGGTGACCCGGATGACTTCCTCCACCTTCTCCAGCATCTGTGGACGCCCAGCAAACATGGACACGACTGGAGCGATCTTCGTGATGCCGTCCATTTGACAGTCCACATCACAGCCTCGAGAACACACATGAAAACAGAAATTACAACTATAAACGAGGGTTGGTGGGTGATTAATATCTGCAAAATTTACCGGTTTCTTCCTTGCCAGCATCAACATTTCTGATGAAAGCCTTCAGGCTGGCATTCCTCCATGGGCCGTCGATGGGAAGGATGGCTTTGGGACCTAACAGACGTGACAATGAGCTGTTTTATAGCATCAAAATGTAAACGTTAGACAAAATAGACACTTTCTTGGACTCTGTTTAATGGTTTCAATATCTGGAGGGGAAACTCGTTGTTTATTGTGAAAGGAAACCAGATGACGATGATGCTCCTGTTATATGAGCCCAGGACGTAAAGCTGCCTGCAGTTTACTGGACCCAGAGGTGTGCTGTGCTGGTATGGTAGTCCACTGCGGAACTATGTTTTATATGACATCAGGACCGTAAAAAAGCAGCAAATATTCAAAGATGTCCAAGCCAGCCAAAGACAAGGAAGTTGTACAGCAACAGTCTGTTTCACGGAGAGGGGGTCTCCCATCATCAAGACGGGAACAAATACCCTCACATTCTTTCAGGCTTGGAAAGTTTGCCTTTAACACACATGGAAATCCCATTTTTGATGTGCTGTGTGGATAATAGACAGTTTTGTAACAGCTGAACAGGTACAATACCTCCTTTTTCCCTGTAAGGGTCATTGAGAGGCAGATCGTACGCCGTTCCTGGCCCAAAGAACTCATAGAAGCGTTTAGTGAGGTCTTGAAGGTCAACATCTGCCAAAACATGACGTGGTTTCTTAGTTCATAAATGTGTGACAGTTTTGGTCATGAAGGGATTCAGATAGCACCACTGGGCTCTAGTTATCTCTGCCTGTCTGGGTGAACTCCAGTACCTCCACACTGACTCAGTGACTCTAGCAGGACGTAGGCCTGGTCTCCATAGCAGGTCTGCTCGCCCGTCGTCCTGCGGTAGAAAGGATTTGCTGACTCGGACCGAAACTCTGGACAGGGCTCCAGATCCGAGAGGACTTCTTTCAACCGGTCTGGGTTGTAGATCCAGTGCATTGGCTGGGCTGTAATGGTCCACAAGCAGAGGGTGGAGGCATGGTGTGTGAAGCCAACATGACTCAGAAGGCACCACCCATGAACATATGTTTCCTAGAGATAATACGTCTGTTCTAGAAAACGATTAAAGGGACAGTTCGGATCTTTTGTGGAAAGAGTCTGAACAATCCTTCCCTACCTGTTGCAGATAGCTCTGTGGACAAACTCGGTTTGGAGAAACAGAGATCAGTTCTGATGAAGTAATGGTTGGCCTGAGTGAGCCCAGTTGTAAAATAATTATTAATACTATTGTAGACGCGAACATTTCATGGCAGTTCAACCGGCAGCACCTCTGGCTGGGATTTGAAAAGCATTTCTGTCATAATAACAAAGAAATAAGAAATAAAAAATATAAAGATAATAAAATAGATTTTGCATAAACTGCCATAAAACATTCCATGAAAGTGTTGTTAAAACAACCATCTACTGATAAGGCATATTTTTTAATAACCTGTCCCAAAAAAACCTTCAACATAAGCAAAAAGTGTTTAAACAGCAATTTTTTTAAGGGAAAATCATCAGACAGAATTTTTCATAAGCTGCAGATTTTGCAGCTTTGAAAGTTGAAGTGGGACTGTGGAAGGGTTTGTGTTTTACTGCCTGCTGTAGGCGACACGTGCACTTTATCCTACCTGCTGCATCTGCCACTGCTGCCCCAACGATGGCCCCTATGGCTCTGTCAGCCGCGCTCAAGGCCATCTGCTTTCATAACACATACGACACTTTTAACGTGCAAGTGTGTTACATGAAACAAGCAGCTGTCATTTTCATCAAAGAAGTAGAAATACAACTTCTGTTGTTACTGTAGATGATGTCACAGAAAATCCAAATCCAGAAGTGTTTGATTCTCATTGTTTTGTTCATCGTGCCTCTATAGAGTTTCCAGTCTTTCTAACATATGCAGCAAACCATTACCTAAACCAGATCAAACTGGGGTAAAAACAACATCCACACATTCAGTCATGGATTAGAATATGAAATAACATCGCTTTTTGGTTACCGGCCCAGAAATGTTTACATAAATGTGACCTAGAATAAATGTGGACCACTTTATTCTTACCTTAAATTCCTGTCTTCTCTTCTCCAATGGCTCAAAGAATCTGTTTAAGGAGCCAATAAGCCCTGAACCGTCTGATAAGCACAGCCAATCGCATAGCATGAGCAACACCCACACTAGCTGGCATAATATTTCATGCGGGACTTGTTGTAGAAAGCTCTCTGAACAGCATCAGTTTGAAAAAACCCAAATTCATTCCGACTGGATTGATAAGCTAAAGGCTAGTCTGAGGAAAATTAACACCAAAGTGGATTTCTGTCCTTCTAAAACAGATCCAGTCTCCAAAAGATGTTTTTTTCTTTAGCTTATATGACTGCTGTTTTAATGACCTCAATATGATCTTCAGTTTAGCAGTGTTCTTGTAGTTGTCTTATTATTAGTTTATTATTATCAGTTGTATTTAGGTCTGAGCAGCGAAGCTGCGAAGGCCTATTGTAATTGCTCTGTTTATTAGGCCACCTGGAAAATTAAAAATACCCCTCCGCTTTGACCTTTTTTTTAATAGTAGAGTGATGAAATTTGATACACTTGTAGAACTCACCAATACTCACAGAAAAGTCTCTTGGACCCATGGTCAACATCGAATAGGAAGTCGGCCATTTTGGACTGAAATGGCGATTTTGACCCTGTTTAGGGGTCTGTATTTGGTTGAACAGTTTAGTCAATTTTCGCACGATCGTCTCAAAAATAGTGTGTGATCGATCAGAAGGGATGGATGATTGAAATGAGAAAATGAAATTGACTTTTCATAAATAATGAAGAGGCAGGGCCAGGCCTCGAAGTTCGAGCACTCACCAAAAAATTCAAATGGCTATAATTTCATAAATGAAAGAACTACAGTAAAGAAAAATTCTATGGATATTCCTCATCGCTCCCGACAAAAAATGAATGGTCAATTGTTGATGTCACACAAGCCCCACCCCCTCAGGACTAAAAAGGTCAAGTTTTACTGTGAAATTTCCCAAAATTCGCCATTTCGTATAATCACCACAAACTTGTAGCAGATAACTGAAGACAAGTTGGGGTGGCTTGGCCTCACTTTACAGGAGCTTTCGAAAGACAGAGGGGCTGTGATGGCGCGGCGAAGTAAGGTGTAACGCCATGGCCATACGATTGCCTCTCATTTTGTCACAAGCTAACGCCACGAAATTGCTGGTGAGTGATCCTAGTATGGTCCACATAAAACTTAACATCAAAAGTTGGCAGGCGTGGCCAATTTTTAGAAATAGCGCCCCCAGCACCCTTAAAAGTGCTAGCCCCAAGCCATGCTTTGACTGAGGATTGTGAACATTTGTACACTTATGTAATGTCTCAGGCCCTACAAAAACCTCTCTTGAAACCATGCTCCATATCCCACAGGAAGTCGGTCATTTTGGTCCAAGTACGCCATTTTGTGTTGTTTGCACACTTGAAAGGTACGCCAGTCCCCAAGCGTCCTTTACCCCAATCGCCTTTAAACTTCTGCTAATTACTTTTAAGACAAAGCAAGAAAAACTGAACCTAAGGATTTTCCAAAAGTCCATCGGTGTGGGCGTGGCTAGGCCTCAAACTTTGACCTGTCACCACACCATGCTTTACTGTCAAAGCTCCCAAATTGACTCCTTTAACCTAATCAACCTAAAAGTCAACAGTTTTATACCCATAAAACTCTTTTGGAGCCATGCTCCATATCCCACAGGAAGTCGGCCATTTGCTAATGTAAAACATTTATAGTGGGAACTGAGCAAAGCATTACAGACTGTTTCATAGAAGGTGGCCTATTTTACCAATTAGTAATGAGTTACAGAGTTTGTTGGCGGGCTCAGAGGAGAGGTTGAGTCAGATTGGGGTGACAGGTCGCAGTGATCGCGATTGGGCGCACATTAAGGTGCGGGGCGCGGTGGCACTCGTGTGCCAACAGTCGTGGGGCGGTGGGTTGGGAGGGTGTCTGGGGAGGGCCGAGGGGGTGCGGCGGCGGGGTGAGCAGCTTCGCAGCGAAGGCCGAACGACACTGCTTGCAGCTTTAATACCTCTTATTACTATTAAAATCCATGTGTTGTCAGAAGATACTTGGAAGTACAACTGTGTGGACAACATTGTTGGCATTTGTGTTACAGAGTGAATGGTGTGTGTGTGTGTGTGTGTGTGTGTGTGTGTGTGTGTGTGTGTGTGTGTGTGTGTGACATACAATATAGGAATGGAGGCCACCTGTAAAGGGTGGAAGTGCACATCACTTGAAATTCAACACAAAAATGTAGGGATGTTTGACATCTGTGTTTTGAATATCCAATACAATCTAACTCTAAATTTACAGAGAGAAGCCTATTCCAATATATGTGCCATTAAAAAAAATCAGTTAACTTACATCACATATCTCCTATCATGCATATTTAAACTTTAAGTATTTTCTGTAAAAACGTTGACACCTACTTCCTTAGGTGATGGAGAAAGTACCATGTTTATTTTGTGTCAGCAGCTGAATCACATTGTCCCTGAGACACGCCCAACTAAACAGAGTTTCACATATAATATGTGCATGATATGTAAAAGTTGTCATTAAAAGAGTAAAAACCAATACCGATTTTTCTCAATACTACTTATATTATAATGCGATAATATTGGCCATTATTAATGGTAGGCCAATAAAATCAGACATCCTTAAAATTAAAAGATAGTTTTGTGGGATTTTGGTGCCATTAGTTAACAAACAATCTTCTTGTTCATTATGTCAATGAATAAAAGTCCTAGATCTATAGTTTTGATGTTCCCACGTGGGAGCTAAGTTTACATCATCTTTTAGCATGAAGAGATTTCCCTTTGTTTCATAATGGTCAGCCTCACGATGTCCCCCAGGAAAAAAGTCGTAAGATCACAAAAATAATTTGTCTACATCCGGTGTTATCTCTCAAATGTCTGCTGGCAAAATAAGCACAACACTAAAATCAATCACGTCTGTCCTCTTGGGACTGTGAACGCTCATGGAAATGCATGTGTCAAAATAATTTTAATGTTTGCATCAATGGAAAAGGAAATTAAAACAAAAAGTGGTGTTTAAAAAAATTAACTGTGTGTTATTCTGCAGACCAAACACTGGGGGTCACACCCCTCACCTAGATAGCATGTGTCTCTTTTGTTTTGACTGATCTAAAACTCAGATGGGCTGCGATAAAAGCAACAGCACACTTCCTCTGTCAGTCTGAGTCATCAAACCCTCAGCCTGTGACCATTCCCTTCATCCGGACAACACCCCAAGTGTTCCAACTCCTGTGAAACCTTGCTAATCCTGGCCAGTCGGTACTTATTCCATGTCTCATGGGGATCCTGATCATTGATTTCTCCTCTGGCCCTCCTAAAACAGCAAAATAGAGTGCTGAGTCTAGAGTCAGACAATCAATAGCAGTAACTAGGAAACAATGAACAAAAGCTGCAGTGGTCCCCTTCAGTGTGACCTTACTCTTCTCGTGTTCAGAGGGCATCTGCTACACTCAAACTGTAATGTATATAAAAGTGTGCATGCACTGATATCTCACATATATAAATAAAATAGGATTAATCATCTTCTGACAAATCTGCAGCAAAGCCAGAGCCTTAGCGTTCTCTGGCTGCAGACACCATGCCCTTCAGAGGGATGAACAAGCTGCACAAATAGACCGGCCACTGTCACCAGATCAAGTGACACAATGCACAGGAAGGCTCTCTATAAATTACAGTCCAACAGAAATGCAAGATGATATGAGGATGTGATGAAGATAACTGTAGAGGAATGAAGGGATGTCACTCCATTGCTTGATGCCAAAAACTTGCAGAGGACCAACGTGTGAAGCAAAGGGTATGAATGCTGACCCGAGCACAATGCTGAGCCGTACTCGTGGCTTGTTGTACTGTCATGCAACTTGGTTCTTTTCTGTCAGGCTCGGTATGACTGGCATGACTACAATCAGCAAAAAACAGAACAAGGTCATGCTTATGCAACAAAATTTTGCTTTGCAATATTTTACTCCTTCATTTTGTCTAGGGAGGCTCCTTAAATCCTTAAAAAATGTAAACAAATGTTCTAATCTGATATTATCATGATTTAAATATATACGAGTCTGCTATGAATGAAAATATTACTAACTTAATGTATCCTGTGATACGAGCGCTGCAAATTTAGCTGAGTTTGACTTTTCTCTCTGATCAAATCTACGCTACCTCACTCGTTATAACAGGGTGCCTCATACTGAATCCCCCTGACTGATTCGGTCTAGATTAAACCACGGATTATTGTTTCGGTGTTTGTTAAAGGACCCGTATCATGCTATTTTACACATTCCAGAGCAATGGTAGGCACAATATGTGATAAATTGTTACTGTTGGCGTTGTTAAGATGTAATGTTTTATGAAATATAAGTTGTTTTTGTGACCCATTACTTCTACCCACAAATAAAATGCTTGTATTAGATCAAAACCTACCTCCCACCATGTGAATTCCACATTCCGTTGAAAGAAACAGAGACCGCAAGATTGCGATTGGTCAGGACGCTGCTTCCTGTTTTCATTTGTCAACCGCACCGTGTTTGCCACTTCAACAAATAAAGAGATATTTAGTGGCAGACACGGAGCAGATTGAAGAACACATCAAGGGAAAAAGTCTGAAAATACGAACGTTATTTCACCCGTGACTGAAGGAGTAAAATTATATGCTTTTATTCGTGGACAGAAAAGACGAGAAACATGGGTTTAGAGGTGCCGATCGCATGAAGAGGTGGAGGGGAATGAGGAACAAATTTGTCTGTGTTAAATTTCTCACAAATACATTAAAACAATGTAAACACAATAGTAAATACACTATTGTGGACCAGATACGTGACTGTAATGGTGGCAGGATACCTCGGAATAGCGCTATATTCTCTGTTGTCTTGGCAGGGAATTGTTTTGCATCAGTCCCCAGTTGGTGTAAGTAAGTCAAATGAAAGAAAAGCAAAAGTAAAATATCTCTGTCAATGTGTGTGTGTGTCTCTCCATTGCAGAGCTGATGGAGAAGTATAAATTAGGCTTTACTGCAGATTCACCGTCATGTCCCAGCCACGTCCCCACGTTCAGCCTCCTGAAGACAAAATGTAACAATTTCTGTTGATTCTTTATGAAG